GTAGATAGGTAGATAAGATAGATAGGTAGATAAGATAGATAGGTAGATAGATAGGTAGATAGATAGTCAGATACATAGTCAGATAGACAGATGAGATAGATAGATAGATAGATAGATAGATAGATAGATAGATAGATAGATAGATACATAGATACATAGATAGATAGATACATTGATACATAGATATATAAATAGATAGATAGACAGACAAGCAGACAGAGAGAGAGAGATAGATAGATTAGATTAGATTAGATTAGATAGATAAGATAGATAGATAGATAGATAGATAGATAGATATATAAATAGATAGATAGACAGACAAGCAGACAGAGAGAAAGAGAGAGAGATATAGATAGATAGATAGATAGATAGATAGATAGATACATAAATACATAGATACATAGATATATAAATAGATAGATAGACAGACAAGCAGACAGAGAGAGAGAGAGATATAGATAGATAGATAGATAGATAGATAGATAGATTAGATAGATAGATAGATAAATAGATAAGATAGATAGATAGATAGATAGAAAGACAGACAGACAGACAGACAGATAGATAGATAGATAGACAGATAGATAGATAGAGAGATGGATAGATCGATACATAGATAGTTAGATAGTTAGATAGGCAGATGGGAGAGAGAGATACATAGATAGAAAGATAGATAGATAGATAGATAGAAAGATAGATAGATAGATAGGTGGATCGGTAGATCGGTAGGTAGGTAGGTAGATAGGTAGGTAGGTAGGTAGAATCAGAGAAAGAGAGAAAAAAAAAGAAAGAGAGAAATAGAGGAGACATCAATCACCTTTCGATCCATTAGTGGCTTCGCTCTGCCATCCGTGATTCACAACAACCAAGCTCTCCTATAGGTTTCCTTTTTTTGAAACTTCCGCCACCGCCTTGTGCGGTACTACTGGTATTGATTTAATTAGAATGGTGTTCCAAGAATTTCAAGATGGGATGTAGAATCCTCCTTGCAATGTCCTTTCCTGAAATGGCGATCCCAGGGCCCAGGGGGTTGAGAATCGCGTCAGTTTACAAGGATCATCAAAGATCCACTTTTTTTGAGAAGAAACGTTTTCAAGGGACAGAGCCATTACATAATGACCCCCTTGTCCCTGGGCTGGCATTTCATAAGAGCAAACACACACTAACAAATTACCCCGCGATAAGATGGCAGATCCATGCTAGCGCTTCGCTGTGAAATGGCAGACCACCTAATGCTGGACAATCGCCGAAAAAACATTTCTACCTGCCTTTTTTGAAAAAAACCTGGGAAAAACACTTCATCTTCTTCGTTGTTACATTGTATAAAGGCAATCCAGAGATATTGTCAGTTTCACATATTGGGCTGGTCGTAAAGCTTACTTTGAAATAGGAAACTGCCCCTCGAAAAATAAAGTGTTTGTTCTTCTCGGAAGGTGCCTCATTTTGGGGTGGTCTCCATTAGCTGTCCAACCAAAAAGAACTGACAAAAGAAAGCCTTCATAAACTAGAGAGAATTGGAGGATGTCACTGAGTAGTAATGTGTATGTATATTATATATACATATATTGTATATTGTATATTATATATTATATATTATATATTATATATTATATATTATATATATTATATATTGTATATTATATATATTATATATTATATAATATATATATTATATCATATTATTATATATTATATTATATTATATATATATTATTATATATTATATATTATATACATATTATATACACATTCTATATATACATAGCATGAAGGGGTTATAAGAATTATTTTCTGACATGGTGCCCCACAGCCTGAGAGTAGAATGATTATTTAATACATTACTAACTATTACAATAGAGGTAAACTATGGTAAACTATATATATTATTTTTATTAGTATATTATCATATTATTTTTATTTACAATTACCTGGGGCCTCTGGCAGCTTAGGGACCCCAGTGTCATTTTGTTTTTTTTGAGTTGAATCACTGGGGGTCTGACCGTGATAAGTTCACTGACTGTCACATTGATGCTTTCGATGTTCCATGCATTTTTGGATATGGGTTTGTCTGAAAATAGAATATATATATATATACATACACACCAAAATCCAGAGAGAAATCATTATTTTATTAAGATGTCCATTTGGCGGGATACACCATTTTCAGACATATCCATCTGATTGAAATTTTTTATGCGCCCATTCAAGTACGTTTGACCTGTGAGCGTCCTGTGGCTGCAGCAGTTGTCATTTAGCAGTTGTCAGCAAGGCAAACATCATCGGCTCCAAGGGCTGCTGGCTCTATGGGGACTACATCAACGGCGTGCCCAATATCCGTGACCCCGTGAACTGCGCCCGCGCATGCGAGAGTCAGCTGGCTTCGCAAGCTGGGATTGAGGTTAAGCTGTTGCTTCTTGGGTACCTGAAACACATAAAACATCTCAGGTAAAAGTTGTTTTTTGTTTGAAGTCACTGCAGGTTTGAGGTTGTTGAGCTCTAATAGTAGGGGATGAACAACGCATCAAACAATTTTTACTTTCAATCGCCAGCAGAAAGCCGGCCACCCCACCAGCACCTCAGGTGATGAGAAGTGCTACCACTGGAACTTCCAGGTGCAGCATGCAGGATGCGTGGCCCTGTTGAAGTTGTGCTTGTCAACCTTGGCACATTCAACAAGTGCGGGGGGAAAAGGGATCGTATAGAGCCCACTCTGTCGTTTGAATAGAAATAGGACGAAATAGGATTCTGGTGGCACTTGAGGCTTCAGCAGGGTGGAGGTGTTTCAAGATTTCACATAGAGGTTCGGGTTAAGAGGTTCCAGAGAACTGTGACACATGTTTCTTGTTTTAATGCCTCGTTTGCGGATGGCCATTTTGGGTTTCAACCTTGAACTTCAGTGATGCGGTGCCAGGGTGAGTCAAAGTCATCAATCACCCAAAGGATATGTTGATTTACCCTGTTTTCATGGAGACCCCAACTTTGGCACAGACCCGTTGATAAAGTGTATCTGCTGCATGCATGGAAATCCTTTATTTGTGGTGGATGTGATGGGTACAGAATATAGATATACTATGATATACTCATTGACCGGCATTTGCAAATACCGTCATTTACCCCCAACATGACCCTGTCATCACCAGTCATATTGGGAAATACAGCACCATCCAGCACCATGGTATGGGATGCTTCATAGGCCTACAGGTAGATAGGTAGATATATAGATAGATTATGACAGAGTAGGCACACATACAATTCGTATACATACACACACATATATATATAAATATATGTAATTGATCGATCACATAGTTGATGTTATATTATATTACATTGGCTGATTTTGTTCATATTATATATGACCTTACATTATAGATATGTGCGTGCCACCTGCGACCCGGGCAGGTCATGTCCAAGCGCTGCGACTTTAAAGCTGAGAATGGCGGCGTGAACCGCGACATCAGCCGCTCGGAAATGGGACGTATGGCCGCGAAAGGGCGACGATGGGAGAATTTTGCCAATTAATAGCAATTTATAGTACAATTCATCCTACAAATATGAGACCTATGGCAATTTTATAGTCCAAATCTGGAGAGACATTTTATAGCGCCAATGAAAAAGCTTGGGAAGTGACCAGCACTATGGGGACTGGTCCAAGGATCAGGGGAAGACCAGTACACTTCATTAGTGACGCCACTGACCAGCTGACCAGATTTGTTTTCTTTGAAATGCCTTGGACGATTGGTTGTGGGATGTTGTGCGTCAGTAAGTCAATATCAGTTGATGTATGAATGTAATATATATGATATAGTATGTCCATAATAGGTTGATGGAATAAGATGGATATGATATGGCATGGCCGCTGAAAACATTGTTCTGTCCAATTTTTCAGGTTTCACACATATCATATATACGCTACATATATATAGATATATAATTATATATATCATACCATACCATTACCATTACCATTACCTTTACCATTACCATTACCATTACCACTACCATTACCATTACCATACCACACATACATACATATATACATACATACATCCATACATCCATACATCCATACATCCATACATCCATACATCCATACCATACATACTATACATACCATACATACCATACATACCATGCATACCATAGATACCATACATACCATATATACCTTACATACATTACAAAACATACATTACATACATTACATACATTACATACATTACATTACATTACATTACATTACATACATGACATACATTAGATACATTAGATACATAGATATATAGATACAAAGATACAAAGATACACATATACAAAGATACATAGATACATAGATAGATGGATACATACATAAACACAGACACACAGACAGACAGACAGACAGACAGAAAGACATACTTACATACTTACATGCTTACATGCTTACAGACTTACATACTAACATACTTACATACTTACATACTTACATACATACTTACGTACATACTTAAATACTTACATAGTTACATACTTACATACTTTTTATATCTACATACCTACATCCCTACATAGATGCATACATACATGCAGACAAACATACATGCATACATAAGACATACATAGACATACATAGACATACATAGACATACATAGACATACATACATACATGCATGCATGCATGCATGCATGCATTACACGCATTACATGCATTACATGCATTACATGCATTACATGCACTACATGCATTACATGCATTACATGCATTACATGCATTACATGCATACATGCGTACATGCATACATTCAGATACCATAGAGTGGTAGTAACATGGCGTGTATGTGGGTACATTGTAAATTCACGTGCACATATCAATTAACAAACTAAAAGAAAGACCGGTTGTTTTTGTTTTATAATGTAATATATAATATTGAGCTGGGGTCCTGGCTTGTGGAACTCCTTAGGTGACTGGATCACCGGTGATGCTGTCCGCTACCTGACTGCTCCACCCATTGTGCCCTGAGCGCCGATGGCACACTCAGATGGGACCCTGCTGGGCTTCAGAATCTGAGCATCAAACAGCAGCCCAGTGGAGTCCCTTTGAGATGTGAAGGCAACGACCTTCCTGTTTCCAGCACTGTCGGTTGGCCAACTCCCTGCCAAGATGATTCAACACTTTTAAGGCAGTTAGGAATCAGAATTTCTGAAGCGTATGATGTTTTGAGTGTAGTGTATCTGCATGCCCACCGTGTTGGCCCAACCCTACCTTTGCATGTGTTGCGATTTGCGCTCCAGCGCTTTGTAATTCGCCGTGATGGACGGCTCGCCGACAAACGGCACTGCCGGCACTTGATTCCTCCCAGACGACCAAAGAGTCCTGCAGGTCATTGGCTACATCACCTCATCCAGGTCCATCCCAGTCCATCCAGATCCCAGATTCAAAGTTTGAGAAAGGTGAGTGGTGGGTTTTAATCTTGGGATCTGCATAGATCTGGATAGTCCAGCACTTGGTCATCGACATTGACCCTCAGGCAACAAGGCCTTTGAGGACTTTGAAGCTGTGGCCGAAGACCTGTTGAAGCTTAGCATCCTCTTGGAGCTGATGACACAGATGTTTTCTGGGGGGTTTGGTTTTGGCACCATAAAGCTGTATGGATATGTATGAAAACGGGGTATACAGTACCTCCTAAATATCATTGAGAATGATTACTACCCATCAAATATTGGGGTACCCTATTTTCAGGCAAACCCATATATGCAACTTTTGCCAGCGCAAGGGCGCATCTGGAAAGCTATCCAACAGCATGAAGTTCAAATGTCAGACAGTGGAAGTTGTTCGCACCAAGTCAGAACCACTAAAAGAGACATTATGGCCATCATCTATGAGCATGCGACCAACATGTGGTTTTGGAACTTCCCGAGCACGGGATTAGGTGACATCAAGACCATCAGGAGTGATGTCATGAATAATTTTTCCTCAGGAAGCGACGCGTGACGAGTCGGGCAATGCTGGCAGTAGAGGGTGGCTCCAACGGCGGCTTGTTAGCCGCTGGCTTGCAGGGAGAGAGTGTGCACAGCGTTTTTGGATCCACAGATGGGCTGGCAAAGGTGTCTAATGTTCATTGGTTTTCAACGTGCAACCGTCCCATGTTGGGGGCTTGCATGGATTCTAACAAAGATAGGTGTTGTCGTCGTCGTCATCAACATCATCATCATCATCATCATCATCTGTGAATATAATGCACCATCTGGGACAGAGGTGCATGTTAACAATCGTGTCAGCGCTTCAGATCCAAAATCTCAGCCGCTTAGGCTTAAATTCATGAAGCATATGCCGTTTGGTGCTCAACACCAATTGAAATGATTTTCTTGATCAAAAACGCCAAAGCACAGTTGATTTTTGGTGCAGAACACACGAAATTTTCTTTTTGGACAGTGATAAGCCAAGTTTTGCACAATTCCTGCCGGAATTGTGAATCCAAAGGTGCAGTGCAAAGAGTGAGGATCTCATTCCATAGAGATTTAGTTTGATAATGTCTGTGCATCATTGATGCATCCGTCGGTAGACATAAACTTAGTGCAGCAGATGTCACGAGAGCTTGAACTAAATTTCTTGGGAGTGCGTGCTCCACTGCGACAGTCAGAAATATTTTCAGATGGGAAAGCTGCTCACAACTGAGAACAGTTGTGGAAAATGTGAGAGAAACCGATTCCAACACTCTAGACTTTATGCCATTTGCTTGTCTTCAGAAGCCATCGGCAACCACATGTAACTACAAGCATCCGAGCATTGACCTATAGTGCTTAGCGCAGTGCGATTTATTTGGATTGTGCCCGTGCACTCAGTTCAGAGAGTCTCGCAGTTGTGATCTCGGATTTAATTTGCGAAGCCATAATCAGTTGCACATATTTCTCCGTTTTTTTTTGGTTTTGTGCAATCTTCACATTTGGTGGAACCAAATGTTTGCTTGAATGTTCTGAACTGCAGAAAGAGCCACTTGAGAAGTGGTGGAAACGTAGTGATAGCAGGAAAGTAGACAAGCCAAGTGTCTGAGCGAATGACCATCTCAGCCAAGAACAGTGAGACATAGTTTCAGAATTTGTCACTTAGAGATCCACTTTAAATTTGGACTGATTTGCAAATTTCGTTCACTGCTGTCCACTCATTGTTTTGCATGTGACACAGAAGAAGTTGCTTGACACCGACTTTTGCACCATAGAAGGTGCTAATTAGGTCAACGTTTGGGTCGACAAGAATTTCCAAGTGAGTAGGCTGTGAGAGAACAGAACTGAAGGACTTGGATCTAACCCAAACTGATGCAAAGAAAACAGTTTTTCATCCTGCCAAAGGCTGGATGTGCTGTCCATGGAATAATGAATTCCATCCCGGAATCTGGCTCAAGGGCCACACCGCGATTATGGAAAAGATCAGAACAGAGATTTCACTGGGAGTGACATCATAAGAACTCACATTTTAAGATCTTGAAAGGTATCTGGTTGACAACCTACTGTTTATCCCCTGGGGCTGTTAAATTCCGCATGGTAGCGGAGCACGTGGTGCTCAGAAAGTAGTTGATCCAGTTTTCAGTTGGGACAACGCCCCCAATAGGGACAACATAGAATTACAACCAGTTTTTCCGGTGTGCAGCCATGGCCTCTGGAAGGGAGCGGTCTCGTGAACTTGATGACCGTGGGAGATCGCGTCAAAGGATCGAAAGTGGTCGCTCAATGATGGTCTCTGAGCGTCACAGATCGTTGCCTGTTCCGTCCCTTGGATCCATGCAGCCAGATGCCAAAACTCTTGCGCTTGAGAAGCAGGTTCATGAACTCCAAGCGAACTTAGTGAATATGGGAAAGAATCTGGAGACTGTGGTTGAGCAGATGAAGGGACAACAGTCAGCCCTTCTTGCTGCCAGCAAAGCGTTTCAAAGTCAACAGGTTCAATTGAATTCCTTGCAAAGTGCTGCGCAGAATGCAGCAGCACAAATCCGTGCAGGTAGCAACACGCCTGTTGATCCGACTTCGCACGCCACAGATTCCAGGAAGATCGAGAGTTTGTCCAGCCCATTCTCTTCGCCTCTTGGCGGAGGACTTGGTTTTGGTGACTTGTCGAGTGCCCCAACAGCCACTAATCCAGCTGTGCGCATTCCAGGTGTGGAGAGCAGTCAGGCCCGGGTCATGAATCAAGCTGGCTCGGAGACAGTGGGAGCTTCGGTCGGACTTGATGCATTGGCCAAGTCAGATCGATGGCTGCCCGCCATGCCTTCAGTGGATTCATCGGAATGGCGCACACGCTTGGATGAAATTTTGGGCATCGAATCATTTGTAGAAAACCTAGTAAGTTGGGTTGGCCTGATCAATCATGAATTTGCCCATGAAATTCGTTTTTCAGCCAGTTGTCTTGATGCGATTCCCAACCACCAGCTGAGCACAGCGCAGCTTGCACGTGGAGCCCGTCTACTTGGTATGTTGCGGCAGATTTTTGGTCAGACGGCCAAAGCAAGAATAATTCTGCTGGCATATCAGGAAAAGCCCGGACCAAAGAATGGCTTCGAAGCACTTCGGCTTATCGTGGCAGAGTACATGCTGAAATCAAGACAGGAAATTTTGCATTTTCGTAGTGCTTTAGTGAATCGTACTTTCAAAGCAGCCAGCATCACTGAGCTGATCCAAAATCTTGACTATGAAGAGAGCCGTTATCAGAAATTGCTCGCAATGTTGCCTACTCATTTGAGTCGGGATGGACTGTTGATTCAATCCTCGGACTTTAGCATGATCCTCTTTCGTAGCCTAACTGGTTCAGCTCGTGACTATGTGATGCTTCATTCCAAAACCGATGAGTATGTAGACTTGAAAGCCGCAGCTTTGAGGTATGAATCCAGTTCCAGAATTTGGACAGAGATTTCTGGAAACACCAATTCGCACTACATGCACAGTGCTTTGGATGGTGGGAAAAAGGGAAAAGGAAAAGGGAAAGGCAAGAAGGGAAAGGAGAACTCAAGCAGCAGCAGGAAAGGACGAGAATGAGAAAGAAAAGAATGATACTTGCTTCCGTTGTGGTCGCAAAGGTCATTACAAGACAAATTGTCATGCCAAGAAAGATTCCAATGGGAAGCCGCTGGACATGAGTACTGCTGCCAAGAATAGCAAGAGATCAGATTCCAAGGAGAAAAAGGGGCCAGAGAACAACAGTGGTGGAAAGGGCAAAGGCAGTGGTCAGGGAAAGAAAGGTACCGGAAAAGGCAAGATCAATGAACTTGTGGAGCAGCACAAGGAAGGCGAGAATCCGCCTGAAGGTGATGGGACTGATTCCAGTTCTACGGACCATCAGCCACCAATGAAGTCTTTCATTGGCCAGTGGTACCAACAGAAGGTGTTGAACTTTGAAAAGTCCCTTGACCATTTGCAGAAGCAGAGCAAGAATGTCTCGTTTGACTCTGACACTTTGTCGGCATGCAGCGTTGAGCATTGTTGTTGCAGCGTTTTTCCTTCATGTGCTGATCAAAGTTTTCCTGACTCAGAGTTTTCAAGCCACTTGCAAACAGACAATCTGTTTTTCATGCCTTTTTTATGCCCAATGAGTAATTCCAATGAAACAAGATGTTTGCAGCAAGCCTCGGATAGCCATCGTGATGCTGATTGGTGGCTCATTGACTCAGGAGCCAGCGCCTCTGTTGTGAGCGCACGATTTGTAGATCGATACCGAATTGTCAAGTCCGTGAGTTTGAAACCAAATTCGGGACCGGGATTTTCCACAGCATCAGGCGAAGTGATCTTTCCAATTTCTCTTGTTTGTCTACGAGTGTTTTTCACCATGGTCGCAACCAATGATCCGTCCAAAACTTTCTTGAAAGAATGCTGGATTTCGGCGTTTGTTGCAGATGCTCCAAATAATGTCCTCTCAGTGGGGAATTTGCTTCGAAAAGGATGGAGTCTTGGTAGTGACGGCGGTGAGGTGTCCGTGCACTTTGGCAATTTCAGACTGTCAAGTGTGACATGGCAAAATGTTCCATGGATTTTGCA